GGGTCACCACGCCTGATCTCTGTCTGGGGGTCACCACGCCTGATCTCTGTCTGGGGGTCACCACGTCTGATCTCTGTCTGGGGGTCACCACGCCTAATCTGTCTGGAGGTCACCATGGCAAACATTCACTCTCAGGGTTCTCCAGACGGCAACATGTTCTTCTAACTAGAACTGTTCTCCCTTGACAATTCTGGTTAATCTCATTACTATTATTTTAATTTTTTATTATGAAAAGTTTCAATCATACAGAAAAAACATTCTTTTTTCACGTAACACACAATCTCAACAACTTTGTGAAAAAGGAACAGGGCCTCGGATGATGCTGAATGGATGATGCTAGAAGGTTGTTTGTACAAATTTCTGCCATAAATTTTTCCTAGTTTGCTGCTGGTACTCACATCAATAGGAAGCTGAAAATAAAATAGATTCATACAGAAAACAGTAACGAGCACGTATGACGTCAGTTAGTGCAGATGATTTAATTCCCGCCGAGCTCCACGTTCTAGCAATATCACGTAACTGAGCTTAACCGTTACCTTCCTTTGTCACCACTGATAGAGTCAATGATCCAAGACAGGAAACTGGATTCTTCTAAAAAAAGACTAACTCCAAAACAATAGCATTCCGAAACCAACGGCTGAAAGAACCTTTTATTCTGCCAACGACAATGTTGGCCTGTGTGTAATTATCCCTCATACTTTAAAGCAACGCCTCATCTTTAGCATTTTATAACCACACTATGAGGCAGAGACAGGACAGATTCTATTATCACCACCTTACTACCAAGGAAGCAGAGATTAATCTGTCCAAGATCCCTAGGATACTATTAGGTCTGGCCCTATGTGCCCTGCCTTCTAATCTGGGGCTTCTCCACTACACTAACTTGTCCCCCGTGGGCATCCTAACCACCCAAGGGCCATTTCAGCTGAGCCCTCTCATATGACTCAATATATAATCTAGGCTGCCACATGGATTATTACAACAGTTTGCCTGAGTAATGAGGGTCTAAATGTCAGAGGTTTCCAGGCTAAATACAAAGAACTATTGCTAAGTCACCCTTTAAAGCAACAGGAGTTAGGAACGCTGATGCCTCGTTCTATCTCTGCCGCTAACTAGCTGCATGACTTTGGAAGAGACAGTTCCTCTCACTGGGCCTCAGTTCCCTTATTTGTCAAATGAGGGCTGGACTTATAGATCCTGAAGGATTTTCCCAGTTTCTAGTTCCATTTATTCTTCTAATCCTGCAAAGATAATGACTTGGTAACATAATTCTATCAATATCTGATATTAATAAAAAAGGTTCCACATTTTACACGATTATATACAAGATACGTATGCAGAATCAACCGACCCTTTTGCCATTAGCAGCGGTAGCAATCCCCCA